CTGTTTTCTTCTGTTACATTCTACTTCAAGCTAAATTTTACATGAGGTGCAAAGTATATGTCTAGGTTTTTCTTTCTTTTTTTACACATAGAGAAGTTGTTCTCTAGGGCTACTAGTTTAAAAGCTATCCTTGCCCTAATGAATTGCTGTGGCTTAAAAATCAGTCACCATACATACGTGTATCTATTTGTGAACTCTTTTGTGTCCAACTTATCTCTATAATTCTATTCTTTCACTGTATTTATCAATGTTTCCCATAATAATCTTATATATTTTTGTTCCATTTTGACACTACTATACATGATACTTATAAAAATGTTGAATTACCCATTACTCACTGTAAGAAATACAATTGCTTTCTGTGTATTGACCCATGATCTGAGTAAATGTTTCATGTATACATGAAAATGTGTATTCTCCTGTTGTTTCAGAATGTTCTACAAATTTTAGACCAAACTGGTCAACAGTGTTGTTCAACCAATATAGTAAAAAAGTATGGCCATGCTTTCTCTTTCTTTCTTTTTTTTTTCTTACAATTTTACATGCACATATCTGGTAATATAAATAACTGCTTGGAAGACAACACTATGTATTACAATAAATTCTGTGAAATTCATATTACTTTGTTAAGTGAAAATCTGTATCACTTGTAATGTTTTGTTTTAATTCTACTTTGTTCTCTCTTTAAAAAATAAAAATTAAGAAAAAACAAGTATAAAACAGTCATAAAACTCCCATTAAAGAAATATATAACCTTAAAAAAGGTCAATACAGATTTAATGCAATTCTGATCAAAATTCCAACAGCATATCTCATAGAATTAGAGAATATAATCGTAAAATTCATTCTGAACCAGAAGAGACGTAGAACAGCAAAGGCAATTCTGGGCAACAAACACAAGGTAGGTGGGTATCCCAATCTCCAACTTGAAATTACACTACAAAGCTACTGTGATAAAAACAGAAAGGTACTGGCACAAAAAAAAGGCTGGGGGAGACCACAGACCCAAACGTGCAGAAACAACTCTAGACATACTTAGCACCTTATCTTTGATAAAGGAGCCAAACACATTTACTGGAAGAAATATAGCTTTTAATAAATGGTGCTGGAAAAACCAGCTTTGCACATGCTAGAGATTAAAATTGGACACATTCCTTTCACTATGTACTACATTAAATTCAAAATGGATCCAAGATCTAAATACTACAACATAAATATTAAATCTGCTGCAAGACAGACTAGGTAAAACTCTTGAAGATGCTGGTGTAGGCCAAGATTTTATGAATAAAATGTCAAGCACACAAGAACTATCATAAAGAATTAACAACTTGGATTTCATCTTATTAAAAAACTTTGGCACAGCAAAGTTAACCATCAACAGAGTGAAGAGACAACCCACAATGTGGGAAAAAATGTTTACCAGATGTTCCTCAAAAAAGGATTACTGTTGAGAGCATATAAACAAATAATATTTTAAAAAACCCTCAGACCCTACAAATTTAAAGACCCAATCCAAAAACGAGCATTTGAGATGAAGATATACTTCTCAGATAAAGAAATATAAATACACACACC